CACTCCTACTTAATACATAAAACCCTTGGGTAACAAGGGGTTAGCTTTAATGGGCTGGTGCTCTTCCATAGTTCACTACTTACGATTGCGTTGACTCACGGCCGAGCGATTTCTTGTGTTACCCTTCAGTAATAATAGATTTGAACTTTCAAATATGCATTATATTGTCTTCTTGTCATTTAAATTCTGAATCCATTGGTTAAAAGATCTTTAATCTATAAGCAACAGATCGAAGAATAAAAGCGGAAATTTGGAAGAGCAATTGTACCTAAAGATAAGAAGTGATTTCTTTTCAAATGGATCCGAATTTTTTGAATGTTACGGATAAATTTGGTAATATTTTATCGTAGAAAATCGGCAAAAATATTTACAGAACCTAACAAATTGATGAATCACATTTCTAATTTGATATTATTTTGGTATCGCAATTTTGCATTCTCTGCAGCTATGCCTTTGGTTATTCAAATCAATGAGCTGTGTTCATCAATCTTTATCACTTGTACATCTACAGCTCTCTTGACTTCACTTTATCAAGTCAAAAGAGTTCCCCACAAATAGAAACGATTTATCCTCCAAAATAGATAATCGTTCAACTTCCACTGTGCCACAATTCATCAATATTGCTGCAATCATTGTGTAGAAATAATTATGCAAATTTATTTTCTCCCAACAGAAAGAAGCCAACGAATGAAACCTAAAGAATTATAAAATAAAAATTCTCCAGATAATACTAATAAGTTAGTTTTGTGAGAAATGAACATACATTCTTCTACTTTTGGTGCTACTATTAATCGACCATCTTCCCATAACTTATCAGCTTTATAATCTGTGACAACCTCCGCAGCTGAAATTAATGCCATGACTAGTTTGATAACAGTTATTGAACAAGGAGAGATCTTTGAGATTTGGAATGGTTATTATTATCGCCTAAACTTATCAATCCATAACAATAAGAAATTGCGTTTTCAACTTTCTCAGAATTTCTCCTTCAAAAGTAGTAAAGTAATAAAGTAACTCTCATTGCCTCTACTATAAAAATTAAAGTTAATGGTATTCAAACTAATGCAGTCACCATTGAAATTATTTCTGCCACAAATGCTGTTTTATGAGAAATCCCAAATAAAATTGCTGGAATGAAGCAGAATGCAATATATATATAGCAGATTTGTATTTTTTTTTTTTTTGACAAACAAAATTAGAACGATAAAAAAGAATGTGTGGTGCATACCTACTCCTGCTTGCATAAGTTGTATGTCTCTTTTTCCTCTGTTCTGTGCTTGATTTTGATTGGCAGCTTGGCAATAAATGATAAAAGCAATATATACTATCAACTTTGCCATATTTAAAATCGTTTGTATAATAATTTCGTTGTTTTCTAAAGACAAGTTTTACTTTGTTGAAAAAT